GACATATTATACTTATAATACTTATTTACTTATTTACTTATAATACTTATTATATACTTATTTAGTATTTTGAATACTTATTTACGAGTGCTTATTAGAAAATCAAGCCACCAAATAAAAAACTGTACCAGTTAGCTTGGGATAATCAGTGGCTAATCTAATCTACCAACTTCGGTTCTCTTATGTAAATAAGACAGTCATATCATATAAATGATCCAACCAATCAACAAATTTGGGGAATTGTTTAGGACTGATGTCTTCTGATCCTTCAAAGCACCAATCGATCTGCCGTATCTTTTGATCTAGATTTGTCCAATGTTTAAGTGAAAAATTCTTGTATCCTTGAAAGTATCTTGCATGACAATGACACAGAGTTGTAAATTTCTCTTTATTTCAATCTCAGACTTGAGTCATTAAGCCATTAGATAGATAAAACAATTTTGGCGCACCATAATCATTAAGAATTACAAAACACAAGCTAATGCATAAAGCTAATACCAAAGACGCCATAAAATGAATTTCAAAGACATCAATCTGGAGAATAAAAGGAAGGAAGAATTTCTTCTTGCTATCTGCATGGTTTATATGAACATTCTTCAAAGATTCTTTGGATAAATTACTAAACAAAGAGCGCATACATAATTTTATACAGTGATAGCACCCTATTGATACAGAAAAGACTTCGGATAATTTTTAATCTTAATTTCCATCCAACATCCTACATATATCACTACACATTCACTTATCATGGAACTTCTTCCCATTTATATACAGTAAATGTGTACATTTCAGCATGTAATATGTTAATTGCAAGTAATGTGTATGCATGTGACTATTATCAATAGTAAGTGATTCATCATTTCTGATGTTGACAAACATCGAAGAGCTTAACGTTCAAAATGTGGATGAGTGTTGCTTTGGACCAGTGATATCAATTATGACTTATATCGAGTACTGGACAAGCTCAGAATATTTAAATTTGATTTTGTAAGAATCGTGTTTGATTATCAGAATTGACATCTGAAATCTTGTTTTACTGGATAACAGATATGGTTAAGTAATAGTGAACTTTAAAAATAATACGCAATCAGTTGATAATCAAATGGTTAACAGCCGACATTAACGTCTGACGATAATAGTATCAATTGCACCTAGTAATTTTTATTCGTCGAGGGTATATTACCTTATTTTTCGTGTAAACCTAACCTGATAGGAAGGAAGACCCAAGCACTGTGAGTTTTGTAATTTTGAGATGAGTCACAGTGATGTCACACACAAGAATTTGTTTCCTTGTATCAAAGCGCAGAATAGGACAATATTGATAACAAGACTGCAGAACATGTTTAGATTTTTCGTTTTGTAGAAAAATTCTAGAAACTTCCAAATTTTTTATTTGCGAAAGAACAGTAAACGATATAAATTAGCGATGTCTGTTCCATCAATGATGAAAGGTATAAATAATTTTCACGAATTACTTTAAAGTATGAACGAAATCACAAATGGATAAGTAGTAAACTGATCATAACTTCATGTCACGAGGAGAATCAATGAATCAGTTATTCATTTATTATAAATTCAATATCGCTAGGTATATGTTGTATATTCGGATTTATTGTACAATGTAAAATGTAAGCTAAGATTGTACGTCCACTGTGTCTATTTCCTCTAACAAAGAATTCTGTTCCACATGCGCTAACAAAGGTGCTAATTTTTGCAATCTCAGAATTATAGATAGAAAGCGGAGGATCATAAGCACCAAAATCATTTTACAAATCTGTTTCAGCGAAGTGGGTTTGATAGACGGTATTGGGCGTCATTGGTCCCCCTTTTTGTTCCTATTGTTGTCATAAATCTTTCATATCGAAGTAGTAATTGTTGAGTTCGTTGTTGTATTAACAAATTTATCGTAATAAAGGTTTTATTATCCAGATTTGAGGTACTACCACCCATAGAGACAGAAAGAACCCTTAATCTTTGTCATGGTGGAAGAAAATCGGCGACACTCCAGATGGAATCATTTTTGCCCGAAATCACTATATACTTGTATGAATATAACGCATCAGAATTGTGTACTGATCAGAACCATATTTCGGTTTATTAAGAATTAGATTAACAAGAGAGATTCAATTGAAATGGTTGATATGCAAATTAAAAGGAGGAATATTATTTATATACTCGATTGTTATCCTATTCTGGTTGATGCATAATTCTAATACAACAGTATTCATGTATGTATTTTGTGATTTTGCTGAAGTTGAATCAATTTGCTACTTTAAATCAATTAATTTCGACATCATTTGGAGCCGTTTTCCTGGCCACTTTTGGTGAGATGATTTATATTTATTGGAATTTATTGCAGTTGGAGTTAACTACTTTGCTAAGATCAAGAACATTCCGATCTACGTGCTTACTAATTCATAGTCGAACTTTAACTTCGTCTCACATCTGAACAATTACATAGCTAAAAATAATCCGATTAACATCCTCTTTTCCAGGTAATTGTGATTTCTTAATTATAATCATTGAAATATTTACCCCTTTATAAATAACCAGAGTAAACAATGCTTCTAAATTGTGTTTTACATAGATTAAGAAATTTTACCGAGGTAAATTAGCACCTAGACCATGTATGTGTGAAAAAACGTAAAACATAGTAAAAGCAATTAATTAACAACTAATAATGAATACATTCAAGTGATGAGTTTATGAAGTGTCTCGAATCATTGACAGCATCATACTATGGAATTAATGGAAATCTGATTGGAAATCTCATAATTCTTATTCCGTTCGCAAATCTTCGTTTCTCAGGATTTATGAGCATACTTCAATTCAAGAAGACGCAGTATGCTTATATTGAGATTTGGATTGCTTCCTTTGAGAGTTTTATTTTAATCTCAGAACTTTTTAAGGAAGAAATTAGGCAAAAACAGAAATATTCAGACATTTTCACGGGTAAATTTACCTTACCAAGAATTTTCCAATATTTGCTAACCCTCATTTTTTAAAAGGGATATCAAACGACTTCGCCATTTCTGGACGATTTTGAAAATATTAGACAAACTGTTCAATTTGTAAAACATTTATAAAACTGGCCAACAAATTATTAGGATTTTTCATCTTTTAAGAATGGACTTAAACTACCAGCAGAGGAACTGCTACAGCTACCATCCCGAATACCGCTATCAATACTACCGTTGGATATGCGGGTATTTCTGATATCAAATGTTTGCTTCATAGCCACTGTTGTCGGTACATCACGTAGTGAAAATGGTTTAGCTAGGCACGACGAAGAACAAGTTACAGCCACGATCGGTAAGAAATTTCTTCTTGATATGGCATTATCTTCGTTTTGCGATGAATTTTCCATCACTTTATGCTGCTGCTGCTGCTGCTGCTGCTGATGTAACTGATCGCACCGTTGTGATAATCGTGATAATCGACGATGCTAACAATTACGAAACAATAAATAATTGAAATAAATCTTTTTGTTCAATAAAATTTAAAAGAAAAAATTAAACCAACCGTACTTGTTAGAAAAGACTGTCTAAACAAATATATTATTAGAAAAGACTGTCTTAACAAATATGTTAGGTTAAATATTTTTTACCTAACTATGCTTAATTTTAAGTTGGAACTTTATTTTAATTTTCTGTCAGATTTATTTGAAAACAGATAAGTCTGAAGGAACTTTGCTAATATTCAGGAAGAAAACTACATTAGGAGAAACAAAGTTAAAATGCGATACCAATTTTTCATTTGTCGACATTCGATTGGTACTTTTTGGCGGAATCGGTATGCGAAGGACAGAATTTTTACGAGAAAAGTACTGCTTGTTTTGATTTTCCTTTGGTTCATCATCCACGTACAAATTAGTAACTGCTGTTGTTGAATTACCAAATGTTGTTTCCATCCTCTCACTATACCACCATTTCTAAAGTTTAAAAAGATTGTTTTTATAAATTTTGTTGCAATAGCTTCATTTGCTAACCATTTCATGTCTTGATCAGCAGCAAGGCTAATTTTGGTGAGGCTTTTAATGTTTGCATGGCTGTCATTCTTGGCTTTTTGCTTACTCTATCTGTTCATTGCTGATTGAGATGATTGCAAGAGAAAATGACAACAACAATAACCAGTTGACTTTTTTAAAGAAACATGGTTGATTTAATTTGTTTCTCTGTTGCGAACCTCATCGTCATCATTTTCCTGTTCCAAGCAATTCAAAGATGATCGACTACAGTGATGAGTTTGGCTTCTGGATTTCAATTCCTGAATGGAATCTCCCAGTGCTAATAACTGTTGCAGCAAGCGAACGTCATTTTCCATCAGCGAAATCTGGAACAATTAAGATAAACATTAACAAATAAGAATAAAGAATGGAATTTCTAAAAAATTTAAGCATTAACTGAGGTGTTCAAGCATACAATTGATCGATCGAAAGTCACATTTGAGTCTTATTTATATTCTCAAACACGATCAGGTTTTGTCCATCTGGTTTTTGTCGTCCAACCCATGTCGTTTTAACGGGAAAGGGAGAAGAGAGGAGAGGGAATGGGCAAATACGCTGCAATATGCATGCTAGCATGCACTGTCATCGATATCCTCTATTTACTCCAATAGTAGTGCAGTATAAACATTAAATTTATATACGTGACAAGGTTTATATTTTTTCACTGCTGTTCTGAAACAAAAAGATGTTTTGCAAATGAACGGAAATGAACTGTGTAGATTAAAATTCTGATTTAAATTTTATACTTGAAGCTGAATGTACGGGAAGAAATTTGTGTATCTCTCCCCTCTACAAGAATTCCAGCGATAATTTCTTTTCGTCTCAATTCAAAGTCTTTTTAGTTCTCCGTACGAATGGATAATTCAACTACCATTACACTATGCTTTAGTTCCTTCTCTCCTTTTTGCTTCATTCTCGTATGCTCCTCCTATGAATTATTAAATTGTGCTATTCTGTGTTTGTAACCTTTCGAGTTCACTGAAATGAAACATTTGCTATTTGCATATTTGTTAATCCTATCACTCCTATTATCATCAGATACATGACGAGAGACAATTGAGCGAAGAAGTTTTTCCTTCTGAAAGGAAAGGAAGAAAGGAAGGATAGATCTAAGGGAAATTTCTCTCAATCTCAATCCATGTCATTCAGATTGTCGATGAATTATCGATATGTTTTAACAGTAACAGTTAATGGCAACAGTAGACAGGAATGAATGGTAACAAGAAGGAGGTGACAAGGTGCGAGTAGGAAGGTCCTTCTAATATTTACATTTGCAGGAAGTACAGAGTACATATTTGCATCCGATAGTATTTAATACCGAAAAGTTGACAACTGATACTCTGACAACATGCCTCAACACTTGCAACAATGCATGTTTTAATAATGCTCTCACAGCGACATAATCGAAATTCAATAAATGCATGTTGGAAACATTTCGATATATCCATTCGATGTGGTTCGGTTGAGGAGATCAGATGAATTAGTTGAATGAATTTACAGCTGTTATTATGCTGTTGTGCTTGCAGAATAGTTTGGAAAACTCTGATTTTTTAGAAACAAGTTTTGTAGCAAATTGGTACTTGAACAATCAATTCTATTAGGTATGTTACCTTTCACCTTTTATACCACTTATTGACGGGAACTGAATACAAAATATGAGGAGGCCTTAATTAGGCTATTCCTGTGCTGTTCATATAGGCTAGCAGTCATCAATTAATTTTGTCCCAACGAGCACATTATTCACACATTATTTCATCCTCCCGGAATCACCAAAAAATCCTCCAACAGCTCACTTCCTGTTTTGTTTCCAGCTGGTAATTGCCCATTTCATTTCGCGCAAATGGTAAACTATGGTGGTAATGACAGGTAACCTTGAACAATGACAGGTAACCTTGGCGGTCATTGTTTGTTTGGAATGTGTTACCATCCATGCTTAACAATTGATAATTATAAACATTGCCGAGCAGAACAGAACGATACTAATTACATCTGGTGAACATCGAGACACCGCCAAAAATGAATGAATGATTTTTATGTTCATCTTCAGCTTAAAGTCCTTCAACAGTATTTAAACAGCCAAATCGAAGCAGTTCAAGTTATTCGTTTGCAAAAGTTCCAAAATTTGCGCAGTTTTCTTCAATAGCGAGATAATATAAATAGCGAAGAGTTGAGATGAGATGATTAATCTATCAACAGTAATTAGTTTTTCAAGAGATGAAAAGATAACTGAGTTTGTCTGTTACATTTAGAAACTTAATGTCACTGCAAATAAATTCCAACACACTCACTTCGCACTCCTTTATCATTTATTATTTCGAATGAAAACTATGCTTATTTTATCACCAAATACCACATTAACCGATAAATTTTAATTGTCTCTCTCCCATGACTTCTCCTTCGCACCCACAATTTTTACATATTCTCCAGCAGAAAGAAAACATTAATTTTCCGGAACTAAAAGTTTTTTAGAGTTCCAAGAACTGTTCGAAAACATCTTCAGAAAAAATGTATCCAGACACTTCCTAACGTAGATTTGATAATTAATGATCGGACAACTTCATCAATGGAACTTATCCTTGAAAGTTTTAACTAACTCGAGAAAATATTGTCATCCATTAAGTGTTCAAGACAAGGCAATTTAAATCGGGTCCAATAGGTTATATTAAATGAAAAAATACAAAAGCTATATAGCTCTATACTCCTTCAAAAAAGACAGTTGCGCCTGACGTGACGTGTAATCGCGCAGCCATTAGGAGCTGTTTGCACGAATAAAGAAAGGAAGTCTCGCCTGATTTTTCGATATACACAAGACACCATACTTTTTTGAGTAAATATCATCAGTTCACACTGAATCGAATCTCTAATATCATTGATCAGAGCAGAAAACGTTACAGGAAATTCTTATAGATGCAAAGCGCTTAAAAATCTAAAAATAAATCAGCGGCTATATTCGTCAACACTAAAAGGATCTATGATTGATACATTTTGTTAATGTAAATTATTCTTTAGCATTGCTTCTCAGCAAAATTAGTAAAGAAAAAAAACGTTCATAAATCTTAACTGATACCTTTGTTAAATTCTTATTCCTGTTAATAATAATGGAAAAATTCAAAATATGCTCAAAATCATGAAACACAGCAAATTTCACCATTTTTTCGCGCAGAAGGTCGAAATTCCTTTGTGCTTTTTGATTACAATCATCATCGTTATTAACACATGTCATTGTGGTTCTTTTTACTAATTCGGGCTTCTTTGCTGATAACATTGAGGATTGTGATGATACAGTTGATAAGGCAGTAGTCAAAGAGGAATATGATGACCAGCACGAGGATGGAGGCAAATGACGACTGTTGTTACCTCTGTTATCAGTTTCCCCAAAGTTAGATGTTACTGATGTGTATTTCCCGCTGTTGTCGAGCCATGAGTTAGCGGTCGGTGAAGATTTTGCTGGATTTGCTTCAGATATGGAGGGAAGAACATTCAGAGAAAAAACTCCCGCAGAACCAGAACGAGGGGTATCTGTTATTGGAGGAGTCTTTGATCCGTAACAAAATATGTTGGTTCCTGAACAAAAAGGGACTGCCTCTGACCTGATAGAAGAGAAGACAGCATTTTCAGAGCACCTAGAAAACGTTATACTACCATCGTGAGATGCAAATTTTTCCGTCCCCATTAGTATAAGATCAGAACCGGTGCTGCCAAATGGGTAAGGTACTTCGTCGTCCAAATTACAAAAACTTTTCGTCTTTTTGCAGCGTTCCAAACGCTTCAAACGATTAGCGCAAAACCGCCGATAATCCGCCAAATTATCGTCCATTTTTAGTTTTGCCCTGGAATTTGGTATCAACATTGACATTTTTAAGAATCACTATTTTTTACACGGAAGTTCGCGGTAAATTTTTACGCTTTCCGAAACCTAGCCAAAATAACACCTGGCAAAGATAATGCTATTTTCAACATGAATAAAATATCGAACTCCTCTGATAATCATACAGATATTTTGAACATTAATTTAGGAATTATGAAATTCGAATTTAAAACGAAAGGAATAATTTAAACTCCATACTTGCAAAAATAATAAAATTTGAGGAGAGTAGGGTGTAAGTCGTTGATTATAAAATTGAACGTGTAAAAAGAAGGCTGTTATTGAAATTCACATTTCAGTTTTCTATTTTCACTCTAAACTCTGTAAAGAACAATTTAATTTTCACATTGAGCCCATATTGTTTTTAAAAAGTGACAACACCTGGACAAGGTGCAAAGAAAGTATTACCAGTGCATAATGAAAATCGGGACAGTTGCGGGTAAAAATCTTGTTAATCTGCAAGCATCGGAGTCATCGTATGCTTTTTTTTGTCAAGGATAAAAAAAAATTTCAAAATATTCGATTCAAACATTCAACGAAAAAATTTGTGGAAGTTCAAGGACTGCTCTGTCAGATCAACGATAATATCAGCATAAGATATCATACATTAAAAAGCGTTAATTATATCACTTATAAAATTTGCGGAAAATGTGAAATTGGACAGAAAAGAAGAATTCGGAGAGAACATTTACTATTTTAAGCGGTAACAGAAGCTAAATTAGATTCACTTTTCATTGACTGTTGAATTTTTCCTCTGACAATAACTTGGATATCCCATTTCATGTTCACAATGCTTGAATATTCAAAGTTGATATGCATTTAGATATGCATTGAGATTAACCAGAAGTTCCGGTTACTTATTCAATTTCGAGAACCTGATAGAGAATTTCAATGTAACAAGAAAAAGTCAAAAATAGGGTAAGAAAGGCTGGAGGGAAAAAATGAGGACGAAATAATCGGTCTAGAATAAGTTTGTTATTCTTTCTATGAATTCTTGGGAGATAATAATAAAGTATAAAGCTGCTCAGAGTGAACTATTATTACTGGAAAATTTCAATTATGCAAATTGAGTTAGAAATAAGAACAATTTAATTCGCCATTAATCGGAAATTTCAGCGCTTAACTGGTCAAAATTATGTCTCTTACTCGTTTCACCTTTCTTCAGCATACACTCTTAGCAATATACTCCTTTTATTTGCATAAAATGGAGGAAAATTCTACTTTATATTCCAATTTTGCCTTTTTTAAATCATTTCTTCCAATATCACTTTGATATACTTTGGGAAATGTTCGATGTAACTTTATAATTTAAATATTTAAAGTAATGCAAGCATAACGATTAGGAATTTAAGGTAGCAAAAGCATAAATGGAAGTATAATTGACGCATGACGTGGCGTAAGTAATGTCACAGTAAATTTTCTAAACAGCTTAATCTATGAAAGATGAACACAAACTGAAACGCACATCAGTGAGCAGAAATATGTATTATTTTCTGTTCAAATTTAGGAAATAAAATTTAGATGATCCGATGATGACTGACATGATGCAAACAAAAATGATAAATGTTATTTAATTCCTCCCACCCTTTACGTCACCTTTCTTTTTCGTGTCCTTTGCCTATTTCAAGCTTTTTACTTTTTCCTTAAAAATTAGACACAGTACTTTACGAAAATTAATTAGAAGTCCAAGCTCAAATCCCACTAATTTCATCCGCCTATTTATTACAGGTATTTATCAATTGATAGATTGCGTAATAATTGTGATAATTAATTACTGTTTTTTTTGAAAAAAAGACAGGAACAGAAGGGGAAAATATTATGCATAATGATACAGACAGCATTTATCAGCATATCATTATCATCGTCACGGGCATTAAGAAGAATTTTGCCATACTAAAATGCGCTTTCAATCACAAAGATAAGAGTAAAAGATAGAAGAAGAGTAAAATAAAGGACATTTGGTGGGAGCAGGAGATTTATTTACCACCAAACGGGTTTCCTCCTCAAGAGAAGGGAAAATTTCAAGAGGGTTTCGACAAATGGTTCAATCATTGTGTTTCTGTATAGACTACTATGTTGAAAAACCTGATATCCACGGCAAATTTGTATTCATGATTGTCAGCTCTCCCATAAATGCTGAATGTATGTGTGTTTATCTGTCGTCCTGTCTTGTAAATGAATTAATTTTGACAAATGGATCTATTAAATTAACTTTTTTTATTTTACATCACTACTAGCACTAAAATTAAATTAATTTTCCTTTTTTGATTTGAAATTCTTTCTATATTTTTCCCGCAAGGTACTTCTTTTGTTTCTGATATAAAGTGACCATATGTAATAAGTAATAGACTCCAGTTAAGCATTTGAAACAATCAATCATCTGGTTTTAAACATTTTATCTCTTTAAAAAATAGCCTGTTTTAGCAATTACATCCTAGAAGCAAAGATGGACTAAATTATTCCCATCAAGTTTAATAACAGATGAAACGTCATTTAATTAGTAACTGATGAATTGATAGATGGCAATTCGTTAGATGAAGAACACTTTAATTATTTACATTTCAATGTTTCATATTCATAATGATAGAGAACAATTCATAGACGGGAGTTAAATTTTACTCCCTAAATTGTTCGCTTCTGTTCCATAATGAATCCTCCGAGGTGGACTTTACTGGTTTTCCCAGCAAAATGTCGATTTTAATTCATTGAAAGATGGAAATAAATTAGACGAGAATAAGTAATTCATCCATGTCATCCTTATTATTGTCAGAAATAAGTTAAATGTAACAATGTTACGAACAATTGAAAAAAAAAAGCGCCTTCAAATATGTTGACAGTAGCTGGAAATAAAATGAAATAAAATGACAAATAATAATTATGCAATGGTTGCAATCAATTTAACATTGCTGCACCAATAACTAATGGGAACGGAAAATATGCTAATGAAATCACTGAATTAATAAATATTTGAGTAACCAAAGGATTTTAAAGATTTGAAAGGTAACTAGAAATATCATGATTCAATATCATTACACTGATAAGAGAAAAGAGGTGGAAACGATTATTTGGATAATTTTTCTAGTAGTCGGACTGTTTCCAAAGAAAGGACTTATGAACTCTTTTAATGAAATTAAAATAGCAATGAAGAATAAGGACAAAGTACTTTTTGAAATATGCTAACAATTATTACCAACAAATCGAAAAACATCAGTTTTTTTTTTTGTTCCATTTTTTTCCTGAGAATTAAGAAGAAATAGAATGGATTGAGTTAGGAAAACAACGAAAAGAAGAGTTAGAAGTATTTTGCGAAACGATTTGATTTATTCGACCTGTTTTTAATTTACGAAATAGTTAATGAAAATGAATAATTTGTGCGATAAATTGCAATTCCAAATTTAAAAGATTGATGGGCCATTAATGCTTTACAAGCCATTAATGCTAAAAGCCATTAATGCTTTACAGTACAGAAAATTGGTCAGATGTCAATTATACCTCGAAATGTGAACAGGGAACCAGGAGACATCCTCTGTTGGGTGAAGATATTTGTGCGAATGATTTGGCCTAGCTTCGTTGCTATAAGACTGAACCTGACAGTAGTAAGACGGAAGGACATTAAACCCTCCTTTATCCCTTCTGTCCTTCCATCGTCCACAGCTCCTTCCTTCTTCCCATCTGCCCACTTTCTTTTGGTAAGCTAATCATCACAGGGTCAAAATAGGTTCAAATGGATCATTGTCTGGAGTGCTATGTCATAAAATGGTACGAAAGCAAGACATTGTTGCAACTTTGTTTGTGCAATATCTATATACAATCAGCACCTATTATATCATCGATCAGTGATCGTTTTTTTTCTTTTTTGAATCTACTAAAAGTAAGATAAACCAACAAACGAACCAGTAAATAAATGGATGAACAAAAAAGTGATGGCAGAATGACTACTACTGAATCGCCTGCATCACTATGGTAACGAATTTACTTATCAGAGAGACTCATAGAAAACTCGAGATCAATGTTTTTCACAAGAAGCAAAAATTTTATGATACACTGATGTTTTTTTCCGAACTCTTTTCAACCTTCTATTTTTTTTTTTGATTCTAACTATATTCTATTTTCTTATTCCCTCACTTTATTTCTAAAATAATACGTTTTTTCGTTTCAAATTTTGATCTTTATTGAAAAATTATCTGAAAAGTTTTGCCTAGCCAAACAACAATTATTTTTCATAGCATTTTTCATGAAAAAATATCATATAGAAATAGAAAACCCTGCTTGAGCAAATTACGATTCCTTTATTGCATTCCTCAACTTTCCCTGTTTTGCAATTCCCGAGAGTCCTTCCTTCAACCACAGAGTCTTCTTCAATCTTCAATCTTCATAATAGTTATAACTGCAAAAGAGAATAAGATTTTTAATAAATACTTCGTTCTGTAGAGTAATACTCATCGAACGACTAGCAGCTGCTTTTTTTATTAGAATAAAATGACGTAATGAGGGTGGACACCAGCTGTAGAAGCCATGATCGACGGCAATAAAGTGACAGTAGTGAGTAGATGCATTCTGAATTAACACAATGAAAACGAGAACTGTACAATTGAGATTTTATTATCGAAAGCAATCGTAGAACTAATTAAAAGTGCTGGGGAGAAATACGAGAAAGAAGATCTGTGAGGACGAATATTAATAATATTTCCTATTTTTAAACTTAGAATTAAAAAATTTAGACTTTTCAATAAAAAATAAACAAACAAACAAACAAAGAAATCTAAGATTTTTTAAGAAAATTTTTTCAATAAGTTTTGAAAAGGACTTTTTGGAAATACGAAAAAAATAGGAAAATAATATATTCAGTTGAAATTTTCTAGTGTTTAGGATCTTTATTCTCGATTTCAAACTGGATTTTTAATAATGGAGCCAAGGAATAGAAGAAAGTCAAAATAGAAAGGAACCCTTTCACCATTTTTTAATCAAACATTACTTTTCTCCAAGGATACAAAAATTTAGGTACATTAAGTGCCGTGTACATTAAATGCATAAGGCCAAACAAGGTAAGCAGTCAAATATACCGATATTCTCAGATAGTGCGAAGATGGTTAGTTATCAAATGATTCGTTACAGTTAATTCCGGTTTCTTCTGAGGATAGGAATAACGAGTTCCAAAAAATGTTCACTTGTTTGATATGGTGATGCCATCAAGCTAAGAGGTTATAGTTGATCGAACCAAAAAATGAGACGATGGAATCAGAAAACATCCAATATAAAATGTTTGATTTTTAGACTAAGGGCAATTTCAACTTAACAATGTAACAACAACTATTGATTTTTATTTAATGCCAATATTTACACTTGAAAAGTTTTTAATGAATTATTTTTACTTTACAAGAGAAGTTTATCAAGTGTTAAATTTCCCACTTTATACGAAAAGTTTACTTAGTAACAGAAATTAAGCAAATTTTAGAATATGATGGCAATGACAAAGGAAATAACTGGAATATCATTATTCGGGAAATTGGAAAATTATTATTAAAGAAATATATTCGCTTTCCAGTAACATCCATCCATTTCTCATTTTTTTTGGAAGAAACCATTTACTGTTTCAGAAGAAGAAAAGAGTTTAAAACTATAAAAACTTGAAGTATTTACCTTGAAAAAAGAGTATGAAAATATTTGTTTTTTCCAAACGGAAATATGCACTGAAGAGTTTAAATCAAATGCATATCTTCCAATAGTTTACTGATTCTTTTTTATTACGAAGTATAAATAATTTGCTGATTTCAAAAAAATTACGGAATATTTATAGATTCAATCATCGAACTATATGAGCATTGAAGCATCAAGCTGGATCCAAAATATACGTAACAGAAGAGAAAAGCAAATAGCCAATCACTTGGGTCATTTATACATAAAATAAACATTTAATGCATTTCCAATAGCAGATCTCACGGAAATTGCGCAATAAACGTGACTAGAAAGAGTTGTCTGCATTGTGTAATCAGGCCATTTTTCTATCTATATAAAAGAGATTCTGCTAATCCACTCGAAAATATAAAATGACCAGTCCTTAGTGCTATCAGTAGTTCTAGATTAAGACCGAGACTTTTTGTTTGAGTACGAGTTCATGTGGAATATAATATTTGCTAATATTATAAGATGACTTTGGCAATACAGAAAAACAAGGTTATTAAGTTGAATACAATTCTGAAAGAATTGAAATTATTTCCATTGGACTTTAAAATTTCCCACTGCTCAATATCCATGCTTTTCGATTCAAATACAAAGATTATTCAACTTTAAGCGAACAGCAGATTTAAGAAAATATTTCAATAAGTTGATGCTTTTTAAAAAGTTCCCATAAAATCTAATCACAATCTCTGAATTAAAAGAAAAAAAACTTAATTAATGAAGAGCAAATAATAACATCTTATATTCCTTGAAAAATTCAGCATTTGTGACAACCATTGTCCCACAGTTTTGTTAAGAAATTTTTTCGTTTTGGTAGACGTTCATTTGTCCTTTCATATTATCGTAAGTCAACTAATCTATTTTGAAAAGATATAATTTATTTGAAAAAGTTTCTATTGCCATAGAATTTAAGCGTACATGCATTCTTTAGAGCGAGGAGGAATAAAATACTGCATAATTTTAATCTAGCGGAATGCTTATAACTGATTGTAGTAAAAATAGAAAAGGTTGAAAAGTTATTTTTTAATTTCACAAAAAGATGACCACCGCTTTCAGTACCCAATTAATAAAATTAATGAACAACTGCACGAAGTAACAGACATGTAGAATCGTTTATTGCAAACTGTTTGTTTAAGTAATGCAAATAGTGCGGAATGTGCATTTCGCACCATATACGCACCATTTCGCACCACGCGCATATGTTACTATAAAATTTAAATCATACAGTACAAAATGGATATGGATTCATCTATATAATATTATGTATGATAGATGATAAAGATTAGCTTTAAGCTCGATTTATAAACATAAAATGATAAATATAAAACGCGATAAAGATAAAATAAAATTCTTTTTTGAATCTTCATATTGCGGAATACAGCTTATCTTCATTAGGCTGGAAGTTGAAAAGAGGTCTTCATAGATTGGAGACTGAGGAGAATCAGAAACTGAGCATTAAAAATGTCTGATAGTTTCTCTGATCTGAAGGAAAAGTGACAGATGTGAGTTGAAAACGCTCTTGAATGTTGGAAGATGATAGATTCAATCTAAGCTTAAATAGCAGTTCTGCAAACTGGTAAAAAATTGAAAATGAATAAATAGCTCAATGAAAGTGATGTGATTAATGGAAGAATTGAAGTTGAAATGCAATCAAATGCCAAAAAAATGAATGAACAAATGAATGGATGAATGAATAATAAAGAAACACTTTGGAATTAATTTTTTACAATTTAATTCCATCGAAAAGTTTAGCAGCTTAGTAGAAATTAAAACTTGAAACGGATGGTAAAAAATATGACTGAAGAACAGACAAATGGACAGAACGTTAACGTGGGCCGGTCATTGCGATCGAATTTCATCATAGAACTTTTGAATAAATGGACGATGAACGCGGGAATAGATGAAGTTTATAGTGTATAAAATTCGATAACAAATGGAATTAGTTGAGTTGGATTGGAATTGCCGTGGAATTTGCATAAATATCTAAAAGTGCAAAATTCATAGACATTCAATACATGGGCATGGCTAAAAGAGAAGGCATTCATGACATAAATAATAGTAATAATAATAAAAGAAATGCAGTGCATATCTTTGGTATGATGACCTACATATATCTAAACTGACATCTGTTGATATGGTCAGAATATTTGCTGAAAATGACCAAAAGATCATTTTTCGAAAAAAGAAATTGAAACCGTCCGATGAATTGTTTCCCGGGAAATCCTCTGTTGAATCTACTTTTAAGGGTGGTTAAGAAAGAATTATAAATAAAGGCTAATTTTAGAGAATAAGTTTTTCAATTTAAAAAAAAATTAAATATATTAATCAATTTATATTTGATTAAACGCATAAATACAATTTACATTTAAAAATCAAAGACAAAAAAGAACTGAGAACAAGCCTTTTGTAGTAATGAGCAACTTTTATTGGTGAAACTAGTGGAGAGACTGGTCATTTGATATGTAATAACGTTAGCATCTTCAGCCACCTACTTCTTTAATGGAAAATAAAGCGCTTCTTGTATTTGAATAATTAAAAGTAATTAAAAATCTCCCCAAAAAGTTCACTGGTTTTACAATTTGTGAGCTCGACTAAAATTAAAACAAGTAGCAGTTTTCCAATATAATCTGCGACCGAGTTTTTTAATGATTAATTTAATACAATAAAATTAAATAAAATGAATTGGACGGGAAATAGTTATGATTTCGTAATCTCTTTAACAACTAAACATCTAATAGTTTTACGGGCCAAGCAGAAAGGTTCAAATTCTTCAGTACATTAACATTAACATTTCAATGACTAAAAAGAAAGCAAAGAGGAACTTTTAGTTGCAAAAAAGTCAAACATTAGAAAAGTTTATAACGAAGGAATTGAACATGAAACAAAGAAGTTACAAGAAATCTCTCGAAATTTGATCTCAAATACAGAATGGAAAATTGGAATTTATGACATAGAAATTCTTTGTCATTGAATTCTTATAAGTTATTGAAAAAGGAAGGAAAATAACATTATTAGAGAATTTCACATCCATAAATTGAACAGGAAAATAATAAACAACATGAGGACATGATGGTGTAGTAAACGAACTAATAACGAATGCGCTCCTAACCATACTTCACATAGTTAATTTTTAAAACAAATTTCTTTCTGTAATCAAACAATGGAAATCCAGAAATTTGGAACAATTTATTTGTTTATTCAAATCCAATAGGATATGAAATATAGACAAAATAAAGTTTTACATGTTCTATTCATCACATTAAGAACAAAGATGTTAAAGATAATCAGGGAAATTAATTCTAATTGTTAGTCCTCTGAGCCCACCCGCAGCTATCGTATTGAAGAAAATCAGGTCATTACTGCGCTAAAAATTTGCATGATAATATCTTATAGAATATCGCCAGCAGTTTCGATCGCAGTTGACATTGTTGTTGTTGTTATTGTTGAGCATATTGCAGTTTAGTCATAATGCTGTGATCATAATCAAAATTATCAACGCTATCATCGCCATAATTGTCAAATTTGTGGCTCTTTAAGCCGAATACTTCCGTTCTCCATATGTTTTGAATCAAAGGGACTGTTTTTATCATCGTTAAATTACAGTCAGCAATACAACTACTATTATACTGCTTTTTGCTGCTCTTACTATTGTTATAATTAATTTATAAGCACCTTCAGAGAAAATACCATTAACATTAATGGCTTTTAATTAGTGTCACGATCACCGTTATCAGAAATATAGTCATCCGCATCAAATATTTTCCATACATGATGGTATAATTATTGTCAGATCTTGGTCATCATTGTGGTCAGTTTCGTTATTCACACTATTATTACTATCATTATCTTACCAAATTTATAAGAATTTAATTTCACATCCATTCATGATTATCTCTGTTCTCCTCAGCAGTTAAGATTGACATTATTACGGCAACCAAAATTCCATATTTTAAATGTTAAATGAATCTAATGCATGTTTGAATTCCCTGAACTTGATTAGAAGCGGATGCACTGGAGAACTAATTTGGTAAGCCAATTTTGATGATGAAATAACAAAAGAAAAGTTGGAAGATAAGACACTGTCGCAAAGATATGCGATTACCTCTGCTATTATTATTGGAACTATATTGATATTCACAGCTCTGTTCAAAATTTCGCAATTTTTGAAAAGACAAAAAGTATATTTGTTCGTATAAGCAAGAAATTTATTTAAAAAATATTTTTTTCGTTTATAAAATAATTCTCGGAACAATAATGAACGGATTTGTTAACTTCGTAATTTCAACAACATCTTGGTGGTTTTTTTTGATGTACAATGACGTGAAAACAGGCTTTAAAAAAGTCATTCTGTATAATTTCAAAATGGGAGTTGGAATAGTAGAATTTCGAGGATTTTATAAACTGTTTAAAAGGAAAGGAAAAATTCTGAATAAAAATCATCACTTATTTTGGTAAGTTATCATGAAGGCAGTAATATTTTAGAAATACTCAATAGTAACAAAACTGACAAAAGCTTCATGGTTTAAAATATTTTTTGTTTTTTTCTCTTCTTTTGCAGTGTGATGAAAAATTAAATATTGATAAACAGCGCTGTATCTAATGTCGCCAAAACCCGAAAAAAACAAAACCCTTTATAACATATTGCCTTATAAAATATTCTTTTAAAACATTTTCTTAGAGCAGAATGACTTAACTGCAAGATGATAGTAAGAATTGATTTCCACAAATTTGCAAGATTTAGCAATTCGGCTTTTCATTGCAGAGTTAAGTAGTTCAAGTAATGGAAGTTAAGTTTAAATGATGATCTTAACTAGCAACTGGAATAACAGTCGGGATTCCGATACCTTAATTTCGTCTGCTTTCCGATTCAGTTGTTCGTTGTAGGCTACACATTGCAAGCAAGTGCTTATTGCTGTCATGCTATTTGTTGGTCGTAATATAGAACGTTAGAGTTTAATAGATCAAAGAAAGCAGGATTATTTACAACATGTTTTAGTTATAGTGTACTTGATATCACTCCTGGAAGTACGAAAATCCTTCAAATTTCGCAAAGCACACAAGGATCCAAGTAATCGACAATTAAACAACTTCACAATAGGATC